CGTATATATATATATATATATACACACACACACACGCAGAGCCGGCGCTATCTGAGTGCCGGCTCTGCTCTAAGCCTCCATGGGCTGGTGGGGAGACCAAAGATCTAGCTCACCGGCCCACAGCAGCATGGAGGGAGGCAGGAGAGGACCCAGGGAGCTCTATACAGAAGCTCAGCCAGGTTCCTCTCGCGATATCTGAGCGTTGCTGCGGCAACGCTCAGATCTCGCGAGAGTTAACTCTAGCCCCGCAGGCTAGAGTTCACTCTCCACTGGACCACCAGGGATGGCACATGGCAGCAAGGATTTACTAATCTGCCAAATCCCTCCAAACATACAGCACACACACATACAGCACCTACACACATACAGCTCACACACACACAGTACACTAACTGCACCCTCACAAACACACACAGCACCTTTAAAAAAAACACAACACCCTCACACACAGCACACTAACAGCACCCTCACAAACAGCACCCTCACAAACAGCACCCTCACAGGACAAACATACACACACAAACACCCTCACACACAAACAGCACAGTCACAAACACGCACCCTCACACACACATCACACTAACAGCACACAGCACACTAACAGCACACACAGCAGTGTGTGTGTGTGTGTGTTTATATATATATATATAGATAGATAGATAGATAGATACATACATACACACACACGCGCGTGGCGTGTGTTTGTGCTTTAGGGTGCACACCCTAATGCAATAGGCTGCGCACGCCTATGCTCCCCCATCCATACATCCCTACCCCTTACATCTGTCTTCCCCCAAATCCATACCTCCCAAAACCTTACATCTATGCCCCCCATATCCATGCTTCCTTAAACCTTACATCTATGTCCCCATATCTATACCTCCCTAACCCTTACATCTAGGTCCCCCTATCCATACCTCCCTATCCTTTACATCTATGCCCCCCTCATATCCATACATCCCTACCCCTTACATCTATGTCCCCCCTATCCATAACTCCCTACCCCTTACATCTCTCTCCCCCCCCATATCCATACTTCCTTATTGTGGTGGAACCAACCTCGCCACTGTCCACTGGAGAGGCCTGGTTGCTCGCCTGCTCCCTTTAGACTATGGTCCTGCATTTTAAACTTGTGTTTTACCTGCAGAAAGGTTTATTCGTGCCTTTCTGCGGACTGTTAACGCCATGCTACCCCAGATAGCTATGCCATGGAGCCAGGGGAGGGCTGGCAGCCTTAGGCCTGGGGGGCAAAACCAGTCAAGTGGCCCATTGCACCACCAAATCAGTTCACCATCCATGCCCACCTTTTCCTGGTTTTATAACGGATAGTGATGTTATGCTAATCAGTAGCCCTTTGCCATACCCGCTCCTTCACGGCTCCAGGCACTGCTTGTTGTGAGTGTGAGCCACTGTAAATTAGGGGCAGAGGGCACTTGCACTGCGGTAAAGATGGGGCTGGACAGGAGGAGAGTGCAGTGCAATCAGTGCACTCCCCTCCTGTGGGTCACCAGTAGACTGTTGCACCTGCCCAGGATCAGTGCCGGTGCAAGGATTTTTGCCGCCCTAGACAAAATAAAAATTTGCTGCCCCCCCATGTGACATCACAATGCCCCACCCATATGAACTAACGCCAGTGCTGCACACAGTGTGTGTTTACATTAAAAAGCCTGCAGGGACCAGCTATAGACATCAGAACCACTTCATTAAGCTATAGTGTCCCTTTAATGTGAGGTACATTATAGATTAGTGTCACTAATAATATACTAGATTGCCTACTTACAAGCAGATGAGGATGATGATGGACTGCAGTTTGGCTCCACTGGTCTGGTGTAGAACAGGATCTCTGGAGGCTGTTTGCAGCTGTGGTCACAAAATTCAATGTTCTGGGAGAATTGGAAGCAGCTCCATTTTTTGGGGCCCTTACACAGCTCAAGGTCTGGGCCCCAGGGCCTGACGGTGAGTATGCCCATAAGGCCCACTCATAAGTTCCACCCACCCATGAGTTCGCTCACAGGGAGTGGAGTGTGTAGGGGATGTTATGTGTTATTGTAGAGGATCTAATATGTGTGCTTATGGTATGTAGTGTATAGGGTTACCAGTTTGTGCAGGTGATGTAGTGTGTTTGTGTGTAGTGGAAGCAGTGTGTATTTGTATAAGGAATGTATTATGTGTTTCTGGTTGTGTGTAAGGGATGCATTGTGTGAATCTGTGTTTGTATGCATAAGGGATGCAAGGTGTGTGTCTGTATGTGTGTGCATTGAGTGTAAGAGATGCATTGTGTTTCTGTGTGTATGTAAGAAAAGTGTGTGTGTTTGCATATGTGTGTACGGGTTTGCATTGTCTGTTTCTGTGTATGTGTGCAAAGGATGCATTGTCTTTGTGTGTAAGGGTTGCATTGTGTGTGTGTGTGTAATGGATGCATTGTGTGTTTCTCTGTGTGTAAGGGAAGCATGTTGTATTTCTGTGTATGTATAGGGATGCATTGTGTGTGTGTGCGCGCGCGTAGTGTGAAAGAGCTCCCTGTCTTGGCCCCTGTCCTATAGAGCTGCCCCTTCTGTCCCGTAGAGCTCTCCCCTGCACCTGAGTGGTCTCTCCTCTCCCCAACCCTCCCCTAGCGGTCTCTTCTCACACTCACCCACCCTCCCTGTGCTCTTCTCACTCCTCCCTCTATGTGTTCTCCTCACACCCCTTGTGTTCGTCTTACCCCCCTCCTCCCTGTGTTCTTCATACTTCCCCCCTTGGTCGTCTTACTCCCCCACCTGTTCTTCTTAACCCCCTTCTTCTTATTGCTCCCCCTTCTTCTTCTTACCCCCCTTCTTCTTCTTCCTCTTCCTCCCCCTTCTTCTTCTTACTCCCCCCATTTCTTCATACTCACCCTTCTTCTTACCCCCTCTTCTTCTTCTTACTCCCCACTCTTCTTCTTCTTACTCCCCACTCTTTTTCTTACTCACCCCTTCTTCTTCTTCTTACCCCCTCTTTTTCTTATCTCCCCTCCTTCTTACTCCGCCCTCCCCCTTTTCTTATTCCCCCTCTCCCTCTTACTCCGCCCTCCCCCTTTTCTTATTCCCCCTCTCCCTCTTCTTACTCCCCCCTCTTCTTCTTCTTACTCCCCCCTCTTTTTCTTACTCCCTCCTCTTCTTCTTACTCCCTCCTCTTCTTCTTCTTACTCCCCCATCTTTTTCTTACTCACCCCTTCTTCTTCTTACCCCCTCTTTTTCTTATCTCCCCTCTTCTTATTCCCCTCCCTCCCCTCTTCTTATTCCCCCTATCCCCTCTTTTTATTCCCCTCCTCCCCTCTTCTTATTCCCCTTATCCCCTCTTTTTATTCCCCTCCTCCCCTCTTCTTATTCCCCTCCCTCCCCTCTTCTTATTCCCCCCTCCCCTCTTCTTATCCCC